ATAATTGCTAAGATATTTAAGCTTAAAGTCAAGAAAACTTTTACTTAGAAAAAATTTGTCCCTTTTCTATTGACTCCTCCTCATATATCAATCTGTCATTTAAAATATTGTAAAGATTACGAACAACTACTTTGATTATATCTCTATTAAAAAACTTATTGACTCTATCAAAACACTTATTTTCTTTATAAATATTGTCGATAAGAGTATGAATTTGATCATAGATGCTTTCTTCATTGTCACAGAGATCACAACGCTTCTTATACTCAAGCTGTTCATCAATATCTCATACCCAATTACGGATCTTAATGACGAATTCATAGTAGCATTGAGTAAGCCAAGTCTAATAAAACTCAGCTCATTCGTTACAATACTCGCGGATAATCCCTATCTTAAACTCAATAATTTTGAGGTCGTTATTTTTCTCGCCAATGTTTCTCTTGCAATAGCATAGCTTCTTGACGTTTTTGGTGATTATAGATTTGTAAGTCTTGTATTTTTGAGAACGTGGATTGGGAGACTCAAAATCCAAATGTTCAACTAGGTGTTTTCAGAATATGTGTGCGTCAAGCTCCTTTCACCATGCCCTACAGACCATTGATGCATCCACAAACATATAACATAATTAAAAACAAGAGAAATAGGATGAGGAATTTCAATATTAGTTTTATTATCTATTTTTTGTTTTTTTGAAACAGAAATATTTTCTGTGCTAGAGTTTATGCGTTTTGACATTTTGATTTGATGTGTTTAAAGAAAAGAAAATATTCAGTTTTTAAATTTTCAGGTTAATTGTAGAGTTTATATAAATATTAAATGAACACGAAAAATCTATTTTTAGAATTAATTTAAAATGATCTCATTGAAATTGTTGAGCGAAATCCTATTCAATGAGCAAAACTGTATTCAATATTTGCTTGAAAAAAATATCATTAAACGCGTTGAAAAGTGCCCAAAATGTAATATAGAAACACGTTTTTACCAACGATATTTTATCTGTCGTGATAGGAATTGCCAAAAATCGATTTCCATTTTTGATCAAACATTCTTCTCCAAATCAAATATAAAATGCTGTGATGTGCTGATGATTGGATACCTTTGGATTAATAAGCTGAAATATCAACAAATCAAAAATATGACAGATCATGTCGAAAATACGTTAGTCAAATACATGTATACCTTTAGAAAATAAGCGGTAAACTTGCTTTTGGGAAATGATTTTATCCTAGGCAGTGATCATGTTATCGTTGAAATTGACGAATCGAAATTTAAAGATCTGTGGATTCTTGGAATGATCGAACATGTAACAAAAAAATGTTTTTTCAAAGTGGTTAATGATCGTGAAAAAGAAACCCTAACCAGGATTATTAAGGAATATGTGAAAAAAGGATCTACCATATACACAGATTCCTGGCATGGATACCAAGACCTGAAGCACCACGGATACCGACATTTAAAAGTTGTTCATGCAAGAGTCAGCCGTAGATTACAAATCATGCGTATTTATACAAACCATATTGAACAAACTTGGCAGACATTGAAAGTATTTATTCCAATAGAAAAAAGATGTTTACCCATCATTAACGAATATCTGTATGAATTCATTTGGTGACGCAAACAACGAAATAATTTATGAAATGAATTTTTAAATCTGTTAACAACGCAATAAATATACTGAAGAGTTTACAAATCTTGCTTGTTGTTAAATAAATTGTATAAATAAATTTATTGTTAAATGAAAAATGAATATTACAAATTATTTGTGACAACAACACATTTTAATTCATATTTTGTGAAATAGTTTAAAAATAAAATAAAAAGAGAAAAAGAAAAAATGTTAATCAAGACATAAATGAAAACTTTTAGAGAAATTAATTTGGTCTTCTTAGACCTAAAATAATTATAGTCCTGATCAATTCTTAATTGCTGTTGATCAATAGTAGTTTGTAAGTCTTGATTAGAATGTAAAAGGGCAGCATTACGAAGTAATAACTCTTTCTTGTCTGCTATCAGAGTGATATTCCTCTGCAATAACATTTGTTTCTCACTTAAAAGACTAAGGTTCTGTTGAACCAATATCTCGCCACCTGTTAAAACTGGTTCGCTCATAATGCTAATTGGGAATTATATTTACTTTAGAATGTAAAGGTTTTTTTAACGATTCTTTAATAAAAAAATTAATATTACTGTTTTTGTAAAGAAGTTTATCGTTATGAAAAATTTTAATCCCGTATATAGATGAAGTTAAAGCAATATATTTTTCATAAAAATTAAATCCTGAATTATTATCATCTGACACAAACACAAATAAAAATCCGTTATCAAACAACTCTAAAACCGTGATTGGTACATTATTTTTCAAACTAGAAATTCGAACATATGTCGAATTATCCCTCTTTACCTTCTCAATTAAAAAGCAATATTTAAATTTTTTATATAAATAGCAAATGCTCTGAAAACATTTAATCTCACTCATCTTTATTAAGATTATAACAAATACAAGCCTATATATACACTTTTAAAATGCCCTCACTCAAAAATATCATTAAAAAATTCAACAAAAAAAATTATACAACTAAAGAAGTAAAGATGGATAAAACTACCGTTTTGAAAAAAGAAGATATTGTATTAAACATAAATGGATGGCTATAAATTGAACAAAATTTCGATATGAAATATGGATACGATGAAGAAGATAGAGAACCATTCAAAAAAATAGATGACCCTACTTCGTCGATGGACAATGAAGCGAATGAAACAGCCTCACTACCCACTGATGAAGAAAACCCATCTAAAGAATACTTGTTAGAATTGGGACTGTTAATACTAATTCCCTGCACAGCACTATTCTCTCGAATACTAATGTAGATTCTATTTGTTCTTCTACTGTGGAGAATAAAATTTTTATTCATAAAAATATGACTTGTTGACGGGGACTATATTGAAGATCTAGACCCTTTTGAAATAAACTTCAGCCAAGCTTCTATTAATAATGTATTTCAAATGGGAAACGATATTGAAAACACAATAGAAGACTTAGTTGATAAAAAAATCAAAATAGAAGACTTTCCCTATATTTGTGTCTGTCTGATCGATGATATGTGGTATTCAAATAACAATCGTCGTTTATACTGCTTTCAAGAATCTATTAGACGAGGTTTAGAAGTAAAGAAAATTCCAGTTCAAGTTCGACGAGCCTCAGACCTAAATATTAATTGGAAAATCGAAGGAGCATATAAAATAGTTAAAGTAAAAAATTTTAAAAATATAGTTGTTTCTTCACATGCCGCAAACGGAAGAGTAATTGATAATGAGGGATATTGGGATTACTTTGAATAAATTATTTATAATTATTTATTTATATTGTCATTGTAAATTTAATTGCGAATGTATAAATAAAAAATTATTTATACATACAAATTAATTATTGTAAATTTAATTGTAAATATATAAATAAAAATTATTTATACGGCTAATCTAAAATATTCACGTGTGAAAATGTATGATAAACCAAGTTAAAAAGATAAAAATCCTACTTTTTGGGAAAAAATGCTCTTGCTCCACTACAAACATAATAGCTGAGGCATGATCTTGTCAAGAGTGAAGTGGTAAAATAATACCATAAGATGCATAATAACTCGGCTATAAAGATTAGAATAATGCTTCTGAGAGACGTGGCCAAGAGCAAGCTTAGCTTTTCATTCCTTTCAATGATTGCAGATATGACTGAGGAATACGAGTTTAAACTAAGCTAGTTAAGCTTCCCTCGTATGTTTAACTGTAAGATATCCAAGTTTTTTCACAAAGGCTTGGAAAAGAGTACTCATCTTTTCATGCATAGGAAAGGACGAACGGGTCATTTTTTATCATTTCAGATGGTCGTTATTAAGTTTTGGCCAGGCTTTCTATCTCGAGAGTAAACGAAAAACTTAGTATCTGATATTCAAATATCTTGAGAACGTTGGTTCTTTGATGGATGTGTTTAAGCTTTTTTCTACCATAGAAGAATAAAAAGCATTCTTAACATAAGTCGTCTTTGGGCATACTACAAGGATTCACCGGTTTAATCCTAAGGCTCATAACAACGAGATGCAACTCGATACACTGTTTTAGGCTTTTGGCAGCTGTATCTGAACAACAAAAGTCAAATTTTTTTTAAAATGGATGAGCATAAAGAAAGGTCTTGGCAGCTTCTCTTCACGAGAATGAGATGTAAAAATCTTGAAACTTTTAACGGTTTGCTGCTTTCGGGTCACAGAAAGCTTGGGGACTGACCCAGATCTCCCCTGAAATCTTGGCTCTTCATTTCTAGTTTTGGTTGATTTTGATATTTACCTGCTTGTGGTATCGACTGCACATCAAAATTTGATGACTAAAAAATATCAATAAATATAGCAATATTTCTAATAAATATATTTAAAAATGTTAACTAAATGTTTATATCTTGAATTTTATAAATTTCAATGTTCTTTTGAAAAAACTGTTGAATTTTTGTTAGAACATATTAAAAAAGAAACTTAATATTATAAATTTTGAGTATATTTTTTATGAAAAAATTCGTCAGAACAATACTGTTTCTACTTGTGTTAATTTATTTTTTGATGATGATATTTTGATACCGCATCAAAATTTATTGAAAATTACAAATAAACAATATAATTATTTTCCAGTAATTTATCAAGGAAAAGCAAAACACAATTTAAATTTAATTTTTTTAAAAAAATTAGAAAAAATAAAATATTTATTGGAATTAATCAGAAAGAAATTAGTATTAAATTTAAGAAGTTTGAAAGAAAATTAAAAAGATTAACAGATTTAACAAACAAGAAAAAGGTGGTGGTAGTTAAAAAAAAAACAAATTATAAAATTGGTCATGATTTTGAAAAAATAATTGTTAAATTATTAAATAATAATGGATTTGTAGCTCAATTAGTTGTATGTCGACCAGGTGATTTTGGTAGTGATATTTTTGCATCTTATAAAAAGAATTTAATTATTATTCAATGTAAAAATCAAATGTCTAAAATAGGCATTGATGTAATTCAAAGGATGCAATCTGCTTCTGTTGGACACTTTAAAGATTCATTAGGTATGATAGTTTATAATAGTAAAAAATTAAATAGTAATCCATTAACTAAGGATGCTAGTACTTGGCATCAAAGCGTATGTTCAGAAATATTAGTTGTAAATAAAAAAAAGTTAGTTAAAAGTATTAAAAATTTTTTTAAATAAAGTCCTCAGCTTGTATAGCTTTCATACAAGTCTGAATAAATGAGCAAATTTATTTATACAACTAGCATATATTGCTTAGTGTTATTTGCTAGTTCCTTACTTTAAAAGGTTGTAAGGATTATTTATGAGAGTCTTTATGAACGATGAATAATTCAAAGTCTTGAGATATGAACTTCCACGTAGTGAGACTTGGGCAAGGCAACAAATAAAATTTTTCATTTGGCTAATACATATCGAAAATAATCCGTATCAATAATTTTATCATGTACGTACTAATTCGATTGCTTACTGTTTAGTTTAAAAATATTTTTAGATAAACAATTTTGTTTAACTAATAATATTATTTGTAAACATAAATATATATATACCATGTATAAAATTTATTAAAAAAAAAAAATGAATGAAGCTTGGAACAATTATCTTAGTGAGAATGGAAACAGTGAAGAAATACCACCTGAAAACATAGTAACATTGAAGAAACTATCAAAGAAAAAGAAAAAACTATTGAAAAGCTAAACAATAGAATAGAAATGATGTCGATTGACCTATTGTATTATAAACAAAGATTTAATAATGTATTAAAAAGAAAGATCAAAAAACGCATCTTGGATTTGGTTGACATAGTTATGGATCTATTTCAACTAAACAATATATTCTTTGCATTAGCAATGAATTAGTTAAAAAGATATATTAAAAAACAAATTGAAGATTTTGGCGATTTTAATCTAGAAATGTTAGATTACTTATACGTCATGCATACATTTCGTATTTTTGAGTTTATACTATGTCAAATATTTTTTTTATTAATGTTTGTAGGATACACTAATTATAATCATTATATAATAAATATCATATTAAAATACTAAAACAAAAAAATCAAATGAATCAAACATATTATCGATATCGTCATCATCCTCCACATCGTTAAGTTTTCTTGAAATTAAAATATCAAATACCTTTTGCAAATATTCTTTTTTGACATCATCCTTATCATATTTACTAATTCTCTGAATTAATGTCTCCTCAATTTTCTGAAAATTTGCTGCTAAGATCTCACTAGAATTTTGCAATGATTTTTTATATTCGGTTATAATCAACTCGATATTTTTCCTATTGTCAATAACTTCAAGTATAAACCCTAACGGATTATTAAAAGAGAATCCAACATTCTTAATAAGCTTTGGATAGTACCTGATCATTTGATAATTCGGATTCGGCAAAAGGCGAATTCACTCAGTACTCTTGATTCTTTTCTTTGAAATAAGCCATACGTAATTATCAATATTTTTTGATAACTCTCTAGCCTTATCAATATGCTTTTTTGTAACAGATTTTGTTAATAAATCTTTGTCCTCCACACCGACTACCCAGATATCGTAAAATGTATCTAGAAACAATTTTCCATTTTTAGTTTTTTCATACGCGCTATTAATCATTTTCTTCACATAATCAATTTTAATGCGTGGTGTTAACTGTCTCTTATCATCCCTACTCAAAGTCTTCTTATACTCATCTACTATGGATGAAATCTGTGCATTTATATTTCTAGCATAATTGCGAATTTTTCTAGCTCTATCAGTCATTCTGGTAGGAAAATATTCTTGAAGAGGATCAGCAGGTGAAGGTCTCTTTCCAACTGGTTGAGTATTTAATAAATCTATTCAATATTGGCACAACTGATGCAATTTCTCAAGCAAACGTGGTAATGTTAGATACTGTTAGTCAATCTCAGAATCTATTTTTCTCTTCCAAGTATTTTCTAATTCATCAGATTTCTCTTCAAGATTAATCGCAAATTCAAAATTATCATATTTTTCATTAGCATACTTAGTCTTCCTCATGATCATTATCTGTATGTGGAAACATTAATCAAGCTTATAAATTATATGTTTTCGAATATGCTGAACCACAAGTTTAAAAAATACGCTACTATGTTGCAGGAGAACTACCCTGGCATCTACTATTCGCAGGTGTATGCTGATGCCTTCTCTTTTCATCATCTTAACTACTCATTTTCTGAAATGGAACATATCATAGATCATTGGCTTTAGTTGGAGGTTGAATTTAAAGCAATGCAGCACACCTTTAATAAAATTTTCAAATAGCCTAAGCAACTTTTATTGAATGATCCGAAGATGGGATAAAATTTTTATTGGATGATCCGAAGATAGAATTAATCCACATGGCATATGCTTTAATCGGATATTAATCAACTTAATAAGCAGTTTGTACAATTCAGAGAAGAGTTTTATAATTTACATCCAATTTTCGCTATTTTTTTAAAAAATTTTATTTTATTTATTTATCAATATGTAATTTATTCAGTATTTCTAATACCAAATAAAAAATTATTTACATAAACAATATCTCTTCGGTTAATCAAAGATTTTCTGTTGACTGATCTGCATTTATTTTTTGTTTACAACGCGATTGACGCACTAGATTTCTGTTATGATGGGTATATGCTTCGTCTCTATGCTATTCGTACCAATGGCCAAAAGATATTTATTGATGTGAAGAAACCTGATGTTTTTTTCGATATCAAGTTAAATGACTTCTCATTGATTAACTCTTATTTGGACAAATTTAGACCGGCCAGCTATGAGACCATAAAGTGCCAACCTTTTGATTCTCCGCATAAACATGATTTTTTTCACCTCTATTTTGAGAATTACAGTATTCATCGTAAGGCCTTGCAAGAGATAAAAAATCGATCAAATGAGCTAAACAATCGATTACAAGAAATCAATAATCAGAAAAAAAAATCATATAAAGTAAAAACAGATATCACCAAACTAGAAACCGAGAAGCTTGAGGTTCAACAATCCATACAAGAATTTTGGGATTACTACGATACTTATTCCGATGATTTTAGTTGCCATTATCGAAAGGTTGCACATGAACATGATTTCAAGCTAGTGGGCTGGTATCGGCTCGTGGGCGGTATATTAATCAGTCAGATAACTGTGAATTTTTCTGACATAGAATCTGTGAACAGTACGAAGGTCCCTAAACTTTTCCTTTTATCCTGGGATATAGAGTGTGTGAGTACCCGTGGCCCTGGCAATTTTCCGGTACCCGAGGAAGATAATGATTACATTTATATGATCCAGCTCGATATATTTTTGTTGAATCAAGCCAAACCATTACAACATTACAACCTCTTCCTTTTTGATATAAATCTATTATTATTCTTCTCCTTATATTCTGATCAAGTATCATATAATCCAGACGTGTTTATATTTTTAAAGCTAAATAGTCAGAAAGAACTTTTGTTAAAGTTTACTGAATTATACGGCTTGTACCAACCCGATTTTGAGATAGGCTACAACATGAGTGGTTTTGATTGGCAATTTGTGCTAAACAAATCAAAACATTTGGACATCCATGAACGATTTACTGAAACAATCTTGGGTCAGAAATTTAAATTTTATACAAACATTCATGAAACTGATATTTGGGTCATGGATATCGATCTCGATGATAAGATGCAAAAATATCAGTTTGCCAGGTTAAATTTGAGCAATCAAGAGATCAAGGTTAATCCTTTGGAGTGACAGAAATATGAGTATTTCTACATCCAGGGTACCATGAATATTGACCTCTTGATCTGGGCCAAAAAAACGTTCCAGGCCTAGATAAAACACACGTTGGCACACGTGCTCGAGAAATGTCATTTAGGAGGGAAGATCGATCTTCCGTATATTCCCAAGGAATCATCTGATGACACGAGATCCATGTTTGTGTACGTTATTTCTATCCTTTTTCAAGATAATTAATCTCTCATTGCCAACCTATCAGCAAAACTTTCAAAACTTTGCAAGATACCCGAGGAAATGTGTTTGGCATCCTTTTGTGTAGATTAGAGGTTGGAACCAGTTTTAAAAATTCGAGTTTATCACATAAAAATTCAGGTTTATCACACCAAAGTTCGAGTTTATCACTTCAATCATTAATGATTGAAGTGATAAACTTGAATTTTGGTATGATAAATCTGAATTTTTATGTGATAAACTTGAATTTTTAAAACTGGTTTCAACCTCTAATCCTGGGCATAAAGGGGCATGCCTCGAGCCTGGGGCATGCCCCTAGAGACATGTTTTATAATTTTCTCATACCCTTCCCCCTCTTTAGAGTTGATGCATTTGCAAGACTAATAAACTATTCTTGAGCATTATCCTTTATATAAGTGGCAGCTAATTCTAGTTGTCGAGCTGCATACTATTGGTTAGCTTTGGCAGCTTGTTCAAATTCTTTTATCCAAATTATAGGATCTTGAGTTTCATTACCTTGATAATAATCTATTTTGATAAGTAACTTTTCTTTGCCTTGTCTAAAAGTTTCGACAAGTTAAGTTGTTCAATTTCTTTGAGTTAGAGGTTTTCTTCAGGTTGTTCAGTCTCAAGGTTTTGGTCTTCTTGGTGTTCAGTTATTTTTTTTTATTTTTTTTTTAAATATTAAGGTGACCACTTAGGCCTCTGGCATGTAGCTTTATTTAGATAGTTATGATATTATATCAATTTTATAAGAATAGAACTAGCTACACATGTACTCTTAGTACCTAATTTAAGTAGTCTACCTGGGTTTTACACTAGCCACCATACCTGCAATCTAACTAGAAGATTATCTATTTAAGCTTTCTAATTATTTTACTAACGAGAGTATAACTAGCTATACATGCAACTTTTAGTTACTTATTTAAGTAGTCTGCTCTAGGTTTCATACTAGCTACTATACTTGTACCCAACTATGGGGATACCCATTTAAATTCTTTGGCTCCATTTCTGTAACATGCCTACCCTAACACTCTTATTGAGATTAGAAATGCCATGGAATGACCCTAAGACTTTAGCCACATGGGCATTTATCCTTGTAGTAAACCTAACAGAGCAGTATATGTCCTATACATATACAGTCGCATCTCGATATAGTCATACTTGATATAGTTACAAACTCGATATAGTTACGATTTTATTTTTACTGATTAATTTTATATTACTTTACTCTTAATATAGTCACAAACACGATATAATCA